CAATCCAAACTCAATGACAAAAATGAAGGAATTCTGGATTGATAATTATTGGAACTGCAATTTGTTGGCTGCCATCCTAACTGAAGAGCAAATACATTGGGTTAAGAAAACAAAAATCAATCCTGGGCAGAAAGATAGACTCATTACTAGACAGGCTTCCTCACAAAAAAATGTCTACCTTTATCTTCCAACAGTTATATGAATGGCAACCTGTCAAGTGGGGTAAATTAATTTGGGGGAAGTGGTTAACACCTTCCATGTCCTTTTTCTGCAAGAGGCTATGGAAATCCTTACTTCCTACTGATGACATTTTGAAGATGAAAGGGCTTAAGGGACACTCTTGTTGTCATCTGTGCAGTAAAGCTAAAGAAAGTCTGGATCATTTGTTCTTCTCTTGTAGTTTCTCCCAAAGGGTTTGGTCTGATATACTAAAACAGCTCAATATTGACACTCTGAAAGTCAGCTGGCAATACTTTTTGGGGTGTTGGATAGAAAGTTTAGATGCCAAATTAATAATCATTCCATGTGTTGTTGTCTGGTTCCTTTGGATGTGCAGAAACCAGTTTAAATATGAAAACAGCAAACCTAAGGAGATGGATGTGGTTCTGAATTGTAATTCTTATTTGCAAAAGATAATAAATTTTCAGAATTTTCCCAATATTTTCCTAAATTGGGTGCCTAGTGTGCAGAAGCTGAAAGTGCCTACTTTAGTTCTCTGGAACCCACCTCCTGAAGAGTGGTTGAAAGCCAATAAAGATGGAAGCTTTTGTAAGGAGGTTGCCGGTGTGGGAGGAATCTTTTGGAACTCTCTGGGGAAGTGCATGTTATACTTTTCCTCTCCAGCTTGGACAATTGATGCACTAGAAACTGAAATGATTGCTATTTATTGTGCTATCTACCTTGTCAAGCAATGCAACATCATAAAATTGGTAGTTGAGTCAGATTCTCTCAGCTGTATTAGAATACTGAATCAGAAAGAAGTTGCTCCATGGAATGTTGCTAGGTGGACTACTAAGATCAAGAGCATGTTGATCAATGTTGAAGTGATTTTCCAGCATATCTTAAGGGAAGGTAACACTCTTGCACATAGTTTGGCAGTTAGGGGGAAGGATAATGAAGAGATTGCTGTAGGGACTATACCTTCCACTCAGCTTGAAATCCTTCTTCATGGGGATAGTTTATCCATTCCTTATATTAATTGTAGGGATTGATTTTTTACATTCACACTAGGTCTGCTATTGTGTCAATCATAGATATTTCCCACACTTTTTGTATACTTCATTATATGATCTAAGTTAGATAGATGGGAAGGGTGTGGTTTGAGTGATCTTCTCGCTCATTTTGTAATCCAACTTTCACATTAACATGTAAGGAGCTATAGCTTAGCTCTTTTCCTT